CCTCCCTTGTAACAGTGAGTTTAGGGTTGGGTCTACTACCTGGTACCAGTGAGTTTAGGATTTGGGATGCCTCCCTGGTAACAGTAGGTTATTGATTGGGGATATCACCCTGGTAACAGTGAGTTATTGATTGGGGATACTTCCTGGTGACAGTGGGTTATTGATTGGGGATATCACCCTAGTAACAGTGGGTTAGTGTTTGGGGATATCACCCTGGTAACAGTGAGTTATTGATTGGGGATACTCCCTGGTAACAGTGAGTTATTGATTGGGGATATCATCCTGGTATCAGTGAGTCATTGATTTGGGATATCACCCTAGTAACAGTGGGTAAGTGATTGGGGATACCTCCCTGGTAAAAGTGAGTTAGTGATTGGGGATTCCTCCCTGGCAACAGTGGGTTAGTGATTGGGGATACCTCCCTGGTAACAGTGAGGCTAGGGTTGGGGATATCACCCTGGTAACAGTGAGTTAATGATTGGGGATACTCCCTGGTAACAGTGAGTTAGTGATTTGTTATACCTCCCTGGTAACAGTGAGGTTAGGGTTGGGGATACCTCCCTGGTAACAGTGAGGTATGGATTTGGATGACTCCCTGGTAAAAGTGAGTTAGTGATTGGGGATTCCTCCCTGGCAACAGTGGGTTAGGGATTGGGGATACCTCCCTGGTAACAGGGAGGTATGGATTGGGATTACTCCCTGGTAACAGTGAGGTTAGGGTTAGAGATACCTTCCTGTTAACAGTGAAGTAAGGATTGGGGATACTCCCTGGTAACAGTGAGGTATGGATTTGGATGACTCCCTGGTAAAAGTGAGTTAGTGATTGGGGATACCACCCTAGAAACAGTGAGATTAGGGATTCCTCCCTTGTAACAGTGAGGTTAGGGTTGGGTCTACTACCTGGTAACAGTGAGGTTAGGGTTGGGGATGCCTCCCTGGTAACAATGAAGTATGGATAGGGGATACACCCTGGTAACAGTGAGGTATGGATTGGGATTGATCCCTGGTAAAAGTGAGTTAGTGATTGGGGATACCTCCCTGGTAACAGTGAGTTTAGGGTTGGGGATATCACCCTGGTAACAGTGAGGTAAGGATTGGGGATACTTTTTGGTAACAGTTGGTTAGTGATTCGGGATATCTTCCTGGTAACAGTGGGTTAGTGATTGGGGATACCTCCCTGGTAACAGTGGGTTATTGATTGGGGATACTATCCTGGTAACAGTGGGTTAGTGATTGGGGATACTCCCCGGTAACAGTGGGTTATTGATTGGGGATATCACCCTAGTAATAGTGGGTTAGTGTTTGGCGATATCACCATGGTAACAGTGAGTTATTGATTGGGGATACTTCCTGGTAACAGTGGGTTAATGATTGGGGATACCTCCCTGGTAACAGTGGGTTAGTGATTGGGGATACCTCCCTGGCAAAAGTGGGTTAGTGAATTGGGATACCTCCCTGGAAACAGTGAGGTTAGGGTCGGGGATATCACCCTGGTAACAGTGAGGTAAGGATTAGGGATATCACCCTAGTAACAGTGGGTTAGTGATTGGGGATACCTCCTTGGTAACAGTGAGGAAAGGGTTGGGGATATCACCCTGGTAACAGTGAGGTAAGGATTGGGGATACTTTCTGGTAACAGTTGGTTAGTGATTCGGGATATCTCCCTGGTAACAAAGGGTTAGTGATTGGGGATACCTCCCTGGTAACAGTGGGTTAGTGATTGGGGATACCTCCATGGTAACAGTGGGTTAGTGATGCGGGATACCTCCCTGGTAACAGTGGGTAGTGATTGGGGATATTCCCTGGTAACAGTGGGTTAGTGATTGGGAATACCTCCCTGGTAACAGTGGGTTAGTGATTTGGGATACCTCCCTGGTAACAGTGAAGTAAGGATTGGTTGTTGGTTTAGACGAGAAACATTTTTGTCTATATAGGTGAGAATCGGCCACTGGTAGAGTGGACAAAAGATTATGTGTATCGACATGGTACAAAAATTATCGATGACTAAATGAAGTATACGGAACGTCCCTTAATGAATTAATATGCAGATCAATTTCTGTGCTTAAATGGTCCAGCATTTCCTAAACTCTGAGACACGAAGCGTTTGGTTATAGTTAGACAAGGCTGGACTAAAATGAAAAATGAAACTTCAGTACGAAAGTCCTACCACACATAATTGAACACAACGATAAAGATAACGTTACATTATTGTTGGTTGATGTACTTGATACACGTTTCTTAATCCTAACGACAGTGGAAGACATTTCAATTTGCATCCTAAGCTTATTAGGCTGGATCTGGTTAGTATACCATACCAATACTGCTGAGAGGGGAAGTGTCGCTGTACAGAATTGCCCATCGAACGTCTCGGTACGCACACCCAGGCACTCGTCAAAGGAACCTGCCCACGCCAGGTTTCCTTGCATAAATCCTGACGGAATTTTACCTGTCGCATCTATCACTGCAAAGACAAAATACTTTTGGTGTATCACATATTATATAATAGCGATGGGACCAGTGTAACGATAACATTTAATTACAATAACAAACGTGATATTCATCCGATTTCTGGCCATTCGCTGTAATTTAATATACATACTTTAATTTCATGGTTCAAATGCAAATTTAACCATAAAAACGCGAATGTCAATACACGAAAAAGATTATGTTATAGAGAGGGTAAAAACAGACATATTTCGTAATACTGCTTACTTTTCATCGCCCATTGTTCCCTTTGAGTGAGTTCCGACACTAGATGTTGTAAGTGGCTGAAACACTGAGGTGAAATTTGTTGTTCCAATTGTCCAGTGACATTCTGTATTGTGTTTGAGATGTTCCCGAGCATCCCCACGTACTGAGAAATACCTTGGAGGTTACCGCTGTTGGAACCAGGTCTGAGGAACTGGAGGAGTTTTTGTAGATTTTGGGGAGTCATGACCGAGATGGGTAGCGACACATTGTTAGATTTTATGAAGTTTCCGAGCTGTTTCTGAATGCTGTCGGTGAACTTAGAATTAAGTAGAAAATTTTGTAAATTTTCAAAAAAGTTCGGACCTACTGCTGTCGATGTCACGGAGGCTGGGCTGCTTGGTGTACTGGTCACCGGGTTTGTCACGGAGGCTGGGCTGCTTGGTGTACTGGGCACCGGGTTTGTCACGGAGGCTGGGCTGCTTGGTATACCGCCCACCGGGTTTGTCACGGAGGCTGGGCTGCTTGGTGTTCTGGTCACCGGGTTTGTCACAGAGGCTGGGCTGCTTGGTATACCGCCCACAGGGTTTGTCACGGAGGCTGGGCTGCTTGGTGTACTTGTAACCAGGTTAGTCATGGAGGCTGGGCTGCTCGAAGCAGTAGTCCCCCTATACAGTGTCAACAGTGCCAAATAAGCAACTGTTGTTCTTATATGTAACTCCATATTTCTTGATCGGTATAGGTTGTTTATAGTACCAATCTGTACTCCGTATTAACCGAGACGAGGCGCACCCGAGTATCGGCAGATTACGGGTATATCATCCTTACCTATGAAAGTATTTACAATCTATATTCTGACCCTAGCAATGCCCTATCTATGTTTCCATTATCGTATAGCGGGTCGACTGATAAACCCCTCACATCAATCTACCATGGTTGAGGCCCGGTATTTCTATAGACGAAAAGTATTCAATCGAGACGTTCCGAATGTTGTCGAGCTAGACAACGAAGGAATGAGACGTTCCGAATGTCGTCGAGGTAGACAACGAAGGATAAACGTTCCGAATGTTACAGTTACGAGATGGATATGTTTGTTTGTCTCTACAGGTCCCATGTGAATCTCTCGTGTAGGATACGTGTGTATCACATGACCGACATCACTGACCTCTAGTTCGGGCACTACATTTTCCAAAAATACAGACAAGTACAGTATGCTGTCGGCTGACTTTCGATACATTGACAACATTTCATTCCTATCGCGGAAATTATCAAAACAATTTGCTGTGATGCTTTGCATACTGCTTCACTTCATATAAGAACAGATCATACACAATATGAAGGATTGGACTTTATAGCTATGTCGTGTTTTCCGCGTTTTTTCCTCTCATTTTTTCTTGGTTAATTTTTGGTCATTTAGAAAATCTACCATAAAATCCTGGTTCTGTCTCGAACTCGACATTCGAGGGTAGCGTTTATCGTACTAACATGCTTGTATAACAAACTCTTAAATCAGGTGGTAGCGATGTTGCGAAATATCCCAAAGATAAAGTGTAAGAGTGAATCACGATCACGTGATGTGTCTGTCCTAAGATAACCCTGGTGGACAATACAGTTTTACATCTTCTTGTTTCAGATCAGAATGTATATTAATAAATATCTTATCTACCAAAACAGCGCCAGGCTCCAGAAGAGCAAATAGTCCACTGTTTCTAGTAATCAGAACTTCTGAAGCAGATCCACTCCAAAGCTTTGAACCAAAATACAACTGCCCCAGTTGTACTGACTCCTACCAATGCCTTAAATGTATTGTGGGACTTGTAGTTGATTTGGCTTGGTTTAGTATTGTTTTACGTCCTATCAACAGCTATGGCCATTTAAGGACGAACTCCCCTGTGTGCAAGATGCATGCGTGTAGTGTATGCGTGTGTGATTTGGGAGGCTGCGATATGTTCGTGTTCGTCTCCTTGTGATAGCGCGGAACTGATGCCGACTTTATAGTGCTACCTCACTGAAACATACTGCCAAAGACACCCAGCAGGACACCCCACCCGGTCACATTATACTGACAACGGGCGAACCAGTCGTCCCACTCCTAAATTGCTGAGCGTTAAGCAGGAGTAGAAACTATCATTTTTACAGACTCTGGTATGGCTCGGCCAGGGGACAGAACCCAAATCCTTCCACACAGGGGCGAAAATGCTCAACTAAAGTCTAAAAGTGAGGCATTAACAAGGGAAACATGAGGAAGAAGAAAGTTGCTTAGAAAGAAGGGAAAAGATAAGATCCCAAATTTAGTCGCCTCTTACGATCATGCAATGGGGGCAGCAGGTACAATTCTTACGCCCTACCTGCAGGGACCACTTGTAGTTGGAGTAAGTTTTCGATTTGTTTTCAAAGCCAGATAGAGTCTGTATACACATCTCTGTGCAGTCCAGAATGATTCTGGTGTCAAATCGTTCAAAACACTCTGGAATGTTCTGTTGTAATACGCTTAGCGTTGGTAGAAAACACAGAGTTTTAAAAACATTCATGCATAAAAAGAATCCATACAGAGAAAAAAAATCTGGAGACTCTTCCAGCTGACAGCTTGAACCTATGTTGTAAATCGACAAGTAGTAAACCTAATCTTAATCTCATCGTTACAAGTAAAAACTCACCTAACAACCTCAGAGAACTTTGTGATTTGATTTGGCCAACACACCCATCATAAGCATTAAGTCTATCTGCATCACTATGTACCAAACATTCATTTATTATATAATATAAGACTTCTGCAGTGCAATAAAGGGGTGCAATAAAATTGATATTGAACGTGTGCAATAAAGATGCAAATGAGCGCGCGACACCGTGGGAACTAGGTCGTATTCCTACGCACTACTACTACTACTGCTATTACTATAGTATAGGCCTACTACAACATGGCTGACGTAAACATTGGGGATTCTGTTCGAATTGACGGCAAAGGTAGGGGCACAGTACAAGAACTTGTTCCAATGGGATTTGCAACATTTTATAGAGTTTTAATCGAGGGAAGTGATATTGAGGTTGACTTGCCAGGTGATCAGTTAGAGCCAATACCCCAGACTATGACTCAGTCGTCCTCGCTACCACAAAAGCAGACGACACCCAACCAAACTCAAAGGTTTGTTCCGGTCCAACAAACGGAAATTGGGTCATTCATTGAACAACAATCAAATAAGAACACTCTACTGAAAACGTGGAATGACATGAAAGTATTGAAAGCCTTTTTCGAAACTCCAGAAATCAACGAATCCCGAAGTATTCAAAACATACCCCCTCCCGAATTATCTCCGTTGCTTTCCCAATTTTTCATGAGTGTCCGAAAAGTGGACGGTTCTGAATATGAACCAAACAGTCTCAGATCTATGATGTCAAGCTTTGATCGCCAG